ACACAATTGAGGGGGAACCAGGAGCCGGCTAAGATGGCAGAAGGCTAGCACCCAAGAGGACAGATGGCTGGGAAGTCTTTCCCACAGAAAACAATCACCTAACTTTTAAGAACAAGACTGAAAAATATTTTGATTTGTTTAATATACTGGATCAAGAGGTGGCCTAGACTTTTGTTTAGCCCTAAGCCTTCGGTTAAAGCCTGTATGCTCACAGTTCATAGCAGGAGTGGGCTCTTTCCAGAAGTAAAACAGGGTGGTGTCTAGTTTGATGTGATGGAGCATGGGGAAGGTTCAGCACATGACGGAACTGAGGCACAGAGTAGATCAAGAATTCAGGGGAAAGACCGGAAGGGCACAGAGCTTTCCCTCCCACATTATCATCCCCAGGCCCAGGAACCCTCCAAGATAGGAGAGGGAGACCCTGGGTTTCCCCCAGAACATAAGAAGAGAGCACAGGACATTTTTATTTAAATTGCCCAAGATATAGTGACCCCAGAAGGCCAGAGCTTTAGGCATTTATGAAACTCCAGCCCATCCTTAGGGATATAATCTCACTTTCTGGTCCTTAGGGAAGAATCTTAGTGTGACCCTACTGCACTTTTTTATCTTCCATTACACACTCTGAGAAAAGTCATTCACTATGAATAACACCCCCTAACTTGAAAAAAAGCAATCCTTTTGCTCATCTTTTCATGTTAAGGGAAAGGAGCTGACCTAACAATGAAGAAAAAGTGAAGCATTTATTCTGTCATTTTATTACTTCTGTAAAACAGTCTCTCCCAAGTAGGATGTGTAGACTTAGAGGCTGTAAGAAGGTTCACTATTGTGCAGAAAGAAAATACTGGAAATATTATGTGTTGTGTGATGTTTATAATACTAATATATATAACATGCAAGTGACAAAGAACCAAACACATTGAGAGCGTGTGCTCACATTTTAATTTTTTATAGATGGAATTGAGTGGAGACTCCTGAAATAAACAATAAACAACCACTCACAGTAAACAAGGAATTATTTCAAATAGATTTTCATGAAAGCACATTTGTAGATGATAAAGTAAGATTTTTAATTTACTTGAACCAAATTACTAGTCCCCTTACTTTTAGCAAACAATTACTGGCTCTACTCTGAAGGCAAGGAAAGAAATCTTACTTCTAACTTCTAAATTAAATGTCAAATATCTGGACAACCCCCAACTAGCCCAAAAATGTAAATTCATTTGAAACATTATTTTACCACTCTTTGATTATGCCCTCAACAGCTTTAAAATTCTTAGGGAAATTGGTTCCAAACATAAGGACAAATACATCAGCAATTTAAATAATCGCTAACATTTTCAAGGCATTTTTTTTTGCTGCTGTTGTTAAAATAAAATACTAGTGAGAAATTCAACAAGCAGATTTCATTTGTGCACAACGAAATTTTTTATCATTTGATATCACAGAAAGACAAACACTGGAGCTACAGTTTCCCCGGGGCGCTCACTCAAATCAGTTTGATATGGTTTTGTATTTTTTAATAAATCTTTCTTGAGTTTATAAACATAAAATTGTAAATATTGACATTATTTTGACTACAATTTTTAATGTAAAACTATCATCACATTTGTCAATATGACATTTTTCCATGTGATTTTTAAAAAATCAATTATTATGGAAGAAACCAAGCCAGATTTGGAAAATACTACTACAATTACCACCAATAAAAATCATTTTAATTGTGATAAAAATGTTAATAGCAGCTAAGAGTTAGTGAGTGCTTATTACATGCTAGACTCTGTTTTATTCACTTTACATGTATTAATTGAATGGTCCTATTGCTAGCTGCCCATTATGCCTGTGAGAACCACCAAAGGTGAATAACAAAGCAAATGATACCTGGATTCCACCCCAGAACAGACTCTGACCCAGATAGACCAGCATGGTAACCTGGACATTAGTGATTCTAGTGGCCAGTATTTGGAAACACACTCATTAACAACCTCCTGACAACAATCCCTAGAGGAGGCAGTAATTACCTTTTTTTAACAGTGAGGAAGATGAGACACATGATTCACGAGTAAAACTGGGATTTTGAACCCAGGTCTGTCTTCAGTATTTAAGCTCTGAACCACTAATCTCTACTATCCAAAGATCACAAACTTCTGGGTAGTTAGGGGATGGTTTCATTCCCGTGGTATGCATAAAAGGTCATTTTTGTAATTTCTTTGCAATTGGATTTTTTAAAAACTTTTGAATAACCCTGGCTGAAAAACACAAACAAGATTCTGATCCCAGAATTACTCTGGTTTGCACAGGACTGGGAAGCTGACCAAGCCTTAGCCAGTGCTAAGGCTGATCTCAGTGATCAGTGAATCAGTGATCTCACTGTTTGCTGCTAGAAGCCGTCTCCCAGTTGGCTAACTTCATGCCCCAGGATCCCACCTGCAGCCAGATCTCTGCTTGGCCTGTGCTTCTTCCTACCCTTCCAAGAAAGTTCATATAAATAATCCAGGTACCCACAACAAACAGGAATAGTTCCTTTTTTCAACTGATATTTCTCTCCAGGGCAAATAGGCTTGAAAGTTCAGGAGCAGCTTGCACCCGTTTTCCTATTGCTCTCTTCTCCTACTGTAGCTCAAAGAGAAGCCACCAGAATAATCAGTCAATTAAAAGAAAAAAAGCAGAAGGGAGAGGGAAAATGAAGAGAAAAGAAAACCCAATTCTGTGTTATCACTTGGTTTATCTGGCTAGCAGTCACAGGAGTGACAAACTTGCATAAAATTGCCTGCAGCTCGTCAAACCACAAAGCATTCCTCGGGCTGACCACATGTTGGCCTCAATGCCAAGGACAAGGAATAAGGCAAGTAGAATTTAATTGGGGGAAAAATAGATGATGGCACCGTATCTATTTAGAGAGGAGAAACCCTAGCCTCTGAAATGCACAACGTGTGACCCAGGCAGTTATCAGCTAACATGAGATGTGGCGTGTGAAGTAGTCATTTAGCCCAATGACTTGCAAGGAGCAAGCGGGCAGAGAGGCAGTCACAAAGTGGCATCCAGACATTCTGCACTCCATGGGCCTGAGTCGTGTCACTGTCCTGTTCAAGTAAGACATCTCAGGGTATGATTTGATCAAAGAGATTCAGCCAAGACATGGAGCCAAGAGGACATTTATAGAGCACAGTCTGCTAGTCTCTATGTTAAGTGCATTTCACATGTTATCTCATGTGATTCCCACAACACTCCTGAAAAGGGGTATTATTATTTCTCTGCAATATTCCAGGGTAACTCAAGTATTAAGGAGGCAGCATGGATTTTAAATGTTGGCTTGTAAAACCTGTGCTCTTTCCACTTTGTGACACACTCCCCCAAACTCACTGTATCCTGGGCGTCAAGTTTATTTGGGGCAACCAGCCTTAGCAAAGGCACTTCTGGGGCCGCCGCAGGGGCAGCAAGGGACAAAGGTACAGGCCCGCTTGCTAGCAGGAATCAGGGCCCTGAGACTAAACCGGTGCATGAAGTTCATTTCTGTGCTTTTTCTGCTCTCTCAGGTTCTGTTTCTTGACTGGCTCCCACCATCTCCCCTCACGTCCCATACAGATGGTAGTGCCTGACTCTGGACACTTGCCAGCTCCTCTCAGGAAAGTTCTCTCACCCCAAAAGCTTTAACTTCTCCCTCCAGCAGCTGAGTCACAGGTGCATGGGGTTGTTTTTGTCTTTTGTCACCCCTTTTTTGTTGCTTTTCTCTAGGGCTATGTGAGATTAGTAGGTTAGGGAGAGACGCATTCATTCAGCAACAGTTCACAGAGTACATACTATGGCTGCGGAAATGTTCTAGGTGCTGGGGACATAGAGACCATTATATTTAGTCCTTCCTTCCAGTAACCTAGGGCTCTGCTCACCTGTTAAAAGGAGTACTGCCTGGAGACAGGGTCCTGAGATTCTGAGCAAGGGCATCTGACTACCTCATTTGTAACTTCCTTCACCGGAGAGTGGGGGCAGGAGCCCAACGTCAGCAGTTTGGCTCAGAACTGTCCTCTTTATTCTCACTATTTTGTGCTGCCTTCCAGTGGTTTCTCATCTGGAAACTTTACGGCATTTCCCTCAACCTAACCTACCTCTTTTGGGGAGTGAGACCCCTTTTCAAAAGGGCAAGGTGACAAGAAAGGAAAGTCAGGGCTGTTCACAGATGGAAACACCTGCCTTGTTTGAACAGCAGGTGGAAGACCCACCCGAGGAATAAATAAAACAGTGAGAGCAACAGTGAGAGAGTGAAAGAGAGGCTTTTCAAGCAAAATCCTTAAGCAGGATTGTTATTTGCATGCAGTAAAAGTCCCATTTTCCCTTGATTAAAACCCATTTAACAGGGGTGGGGTGACATTTACTCACTGACGTTTCTTAGCAAGTTCTCAAAGTTGCAAATGCACCTGTTACCAGAAAACTAGAGCTGCGTCAGAGCTTCAGAAATGGCAGGAGAAGGAGGGGGTGGTTAACTTGAAACATAGCTTTCACAATGATACAATTAGAATTGTTACCAATTCCCTTCCCATTTTTCACTGGTTTTGTAGCAACTTTTGAGTTCTTACACAAAGCTATCAGAAAGAAGGATTTTTTTCATTATGGCTTTTAACAAGGCAGTTTCCACACACACACACACACAAAAGCCATCTGTTTCCCCATTTCCAGTACAAAGCTGATCGGCTAAGTGTGCAATTATGCCTAATATCAACATAAAGATGAAGGTTTACATGAAAAGAGATGTTCAGCTAGTTAAAAATGAGACATGTTCAGTTACACACAGAAGAATAGTTTGAGAGCCGTAACATTTTGTAGTTGGTAGCACATTTGCTCTAACAGCCAGTAAGGAAATATACATGCATTAGAAAACAAAAATTATGCAAATATAGACACCCAAAGACAAATCAGGCAAAAATTGCCCAAGCATGTAAGACGGAATGAACAGGCGTCTGAGGACAGTTTCCAGGAAGATGTGAATTCCTCTTAATGGAATTACTTACCCACACAAACAGAATTCCCATTCCCCGAGGGAGAGCCATCAGGACAGTTCCAGAGCTCCAGTGCTGAGGGACTGACGGAAGTAAACTTAAAAACTACAGGCAACAGAATGATAAAGAAGAGCAGCATAGTCTTGTTGGGCTTGAACTTTCAATAGAAAATCACTTGACTTCGCTGGTGCATAGCCTGGGCAAGGTGAGTATGTCTGACCCCAAGCGTGTCCACCCAGGTTGGCAGGCAGCCCTGAGGCATCTTTAACTCTGTTGTTTGTCTATTGCCTTCCAGCTCCTTCTCCTTCAACTCAAGACAGTGGCCCTGCAGCCTGGAAACGACTCTGAAAGCTTTCTTTATCTAAGTCTTTGGGGAGCCAGTAAGAAATACCTGACACCCTTCTGACAAATTTCGCAGCTGAACAGCCACACTCCGGAGGCCTGCAGCTGACTTCACTGTGACAGGCAGAGCACTGGGCAAAGGCTACAGAGAGAAGAATAAGGAAAGAACTGATGGGATGTTCCCACCATGATCCTTGATGAGGCTGAAAGAAGAAATATGGAGAGATGAGTCCTCTCCAAGTCCAGTTTCCCTTTTTGAAAAGTAGAATGATTCCCTTTCCTCTTAAAGCCTTTCCGGCTCCACCTCCTTCCCTTTGGTGACACTTGAGTGAGCTTGTTTGCAAATGAGAATGTGGGCAATTCCACACTGCAGGAAGGCAGGGAGGGCTGCCAAAGAGGAGATAACTGGCTGTTCACCATAAATGTTCCGGGCAGAACTGAAGAGAGAGCAATTAGGGGGCTGTGGAGTCACTCCTGGTGTCCTGGAGGTACCTGCTGAATATTGGCTAGGCATTAATATCTTCAAAGGGGGACACAAGTTAAACTATGCCAGGCAAATCAATGGTGAACAGCACTGCCGATAATTCAGACTTACAGTAACTGATCATTCACATGAGCAATACTAAAGAAAATTTACCTTCAGCTCATTATTTGAACAAAATGTCAACACCCGTGCACATTCCTGGCGCTAATCTTTTTTATAGTGGAATTTGAAAGATTATTCTTTCCAAATCAAAAGGAAATCCCTGAAGCCAAATAAAGAGATACAATGTGCACAGACATCCCTTCTTTCAGCATGAGCATAATAAAACACTGTGAGGGGCCAGGGGTGCAGGGAAAGGAGTTGGTTGTTGTTATAGGGTTGGAAAAAATAAGCTAGGAGTGCAAAATCTGGGAAGCCCTGGAAATTCAGCAGAGCTGAATGCTATTCCTCCTCAGGCAATGTAGGCTATCTTTACACATATCAGTGACAGAAAATAAGAACTTGAAGTATCAACTAGCTGTCTCCTCCAGCACTTTCTACCTGGAGCCACAGCAGTCACTTCTTTAGGAGTACACCCAGGGCCCAGAAATACACAGCTAGGCAAACCATTTACTCCAGATTTGATGAACAATACAGATTTCTGTCAGTTTGCTTCAACCTGGAAAACAAGCTTTCACTTGTTGCCCAGAGGTAGTATTCTAAGCGCTAGTCCAGTGTAGATAAAGCGATAGTCACCAACAACAGTCACACCAGTGAACACCCGTTATGGAGGAATATGGGAACTCCAAGCCTTTTATTCATATTTAGCTATGTCCTCATCATTGAAGTACTGGGTCACTTTTAGGAAACAGTGGAAGTCAGGATTTGTCTGATTTCAGCTGGCCTCCATCAGCCAGCTCTGACCCCTTATACTAGGTCTGGGGGACAGGAGAAGTTGTGGGGGGAAGGAGGGTGGAGACATGGAATATTCTGTTGCTCTCTGGACTCACTTGGACTCAATATGCACTCCAGATAACCTGCATGAAGTTCCTTGCCTTGTGAGTAAGCTTCCCCTTCAGTAAAACACATTGCCAGCATCTCAGGTGACAGCAGTAGAAGGGGCTGAGAGGGCAGTCAGCCATCAAGCTGAATTAATGGAGAAGAGTGACAAGAATGATATGAACACATATAGGAAATAATCCACAACTATATTTTATTTGGATTAGGAATAGCTCATATTATTTTTGGTTCTAAAAAGGCTTGCTTTCCTAATCACATGTCACCTGGGCTAATGTTGCTTTGATGTTGTGTATATGCCCCTAGGAGATGATGTTGTCAATGCGGCTGTGGTAGATGCCAAGTCCGGTGACTAATGTAGGGGCCAATCCCAGCTAATTCATTGACAATCCAGGGCTGTCCAGACAGCAAAATCATAGGACAGAGCTGTCCACCTAGGAAAGACTTCCAGAGATACTTTAAAAGTTCATATTCTTACTTCAAGATAAAACTGAACCTCTCCTGGGCAAATGAATGTCCTCCTTATTTGAAAGTTGTCCAGAAATCTATGATAGTTTTATGGGTTTGAGTTGCCAAATACCTTTTAGCTTCTGGGATTGAGTCAAATTAACTAATTCATTTACTAATTAAATAGCTATATAAGATAGGGCAACGTATGGAGTACAAAAAAAAGAAGTCATGGTCCCCTGAGCTCATGAGCTCACTTAGGTTGATTAACAACAATAACAAAGAATAGTTTATGAGCATGAGCTAATGAATGGCCACTCCCCAAGTATTCTGTGGGCATCAGGAAAGAAGGGAGAACAGCAACAAAACTCTGTGGACTGGAGAATGCAGCAAAACTCTTTATACCAAATAGAAAGCCTCAGTTAGGCATGGAGAAGGAGGAAGGCCATGCTGACAATAGAATGTGGAACAGGAATAGCCAAAGACAATAAATGCTTATTTATTAGCCCCTTGGATCCTGAGGGAGGAGGAGAGGAAACCCTGCTGGCAGATCATTAAGAGAGTTAGACCAAATGGCAAGGGGACAGCTCTGAATGCTCTCAGTGAGTGAAGAGCAACAGAAGGGAGGCTGTTCGGAGATGTGTTTATGTGTGCTGGTCATCATGCCCATTTTCAGATAAAATTTCCTTGCTGAAGCACAAAGCACCTAATTCTCCTGGGTATATATTTGCTATTGTTAATCATCGCCACACTGCACCATCAACAGATTGCTCCCAGTGTGCCAAGCATACAGGAAGTAGATGCGGTATTCACATCACCTCCAATCTTCACCATTGTCTTGCAAGGTAGATATTATTGCCACATTTCACAAATGAGGACACTGAAGATCAGAAAGGCTGAGAAATTTTCCCAGTATCACACACGTTTATGGAAGATACAAATTCTGAAGTCATTATTCTTTCCTCATTAAATGATATTTTTGACCAGAAGGAACAGGCTGGGGCATCATCAAAAGCAAGAACAAAACTTATACCATGCATATGGGTACGAATGCAAGGACCAGAAGGGACAAGGCAGGGAGGGCACTTTGATAGGATCAACTATTAGTGCTTAACATCTACCTGCAGAAACAGTTCAGAGGCTATTTCATAGGCCACTTCTATCAGTGAGTATCGAGAGTATCAAGATTATAATATGACAAGATTTGAAAACATCTTTCAGAGAGAAAATTGTTGACATGTGTCTGACATTCTTCTGATTCATATATGGCAGAAACTGAAATAGTGTTAATGGAAAGAAGCGGGAAGGGACACAGGCACTAGCTGCAAGGGGCAAATTATAATTTATCAAGGTATGAATACCAGATGTAAAAGTTATATTGAAAAAGAAGGGCAGTTTTGCTCCTTGTTATTTACCCAATGGGTTGAAAAATTCTGTCCTTAAAAAAACAACACACAACTATCGATCACAGCTGTATTCATAATTGCCAAAAATTGGAAGCAACTGAGATATTCTTCAATAGATGAATGGATAAACAAACTGTGGTATATCCATACAATGGAATATCATTCAGGAATTTAAAAAAAATATTAACCTATTAACCATCCAGCCTCTAAAGACATGAGGGAATCATAAACACATATTGCTAAGTGAAAGAAGTCAGTTTGAAAGGTAACATACTGTATGAATTCAACTAATTGATATTCTGGAAAAGGCAAAACTAAAGAGACAGTAAGAGTTCAGTGTTTGCCAGGTGTTGGGGTAGAGAGAGATGAACAGGGAGAACACAAAGGATTTTTAGGGCAGTGAAGCAGTTCTGTCTGACAAGATAATGGATACATGCCATTATTCATGTGTTAAAACTCATGGAATGTACAAGAGTGAACCTGAATGTAAACTATGGACTTTAATAATAATGCATCAGTATTGGCCCATCAGTTGTCACAAATGTAGCACACTAACACAAGGTACTAATAAATAGAGGAAAGGGAGGCCAGGGGAAGGGGAAGGGATATACAGGAATTCTCTGCACTTTCTGCACAACTTTTCTGTTAACCTAAAACTGCTTTTACAAAAAATAATCCATTAATTTTTTTAAAAAAGAAGGGAATCACTATCCAATTAAGCAAAGCTATGCTTAATGCACAGTTGAAGTACCATGCTTCTACCAGATAAAATCAGATTTTTAAAAGCACTTGAACAAGAAAAGAGGAATTCTGCCCATGTTCCATTTTTCAGCTAAGTCCACCTCAGTCACCTAGAAAGTTATTTCTGACCAAGACAAAGAAAGAAGCTGGATATATAAAAAAGAAGAGCATAACAATTCATAATATATAATTTACAATTCTATGAAGCAGCAACCAAAATTAAATCTAAAAAAAAAAGGCTAATTATAGACTTCATGTCATTTATTTACATAATCTCAGCATGCCTGTCGGTTTCCACCAACCTGGGAAATTCCCCAGATCACATTTGAAATTAGCCCCCAGTACAGAAAGGGCAGGGAGAGACTGAAGAAAGAGGCAGACCACTCGAAATTGGGGTGGCAGTTTGGGGTGTTTTTTTTTTCACTTTTGAAATACAGAATTTTATTTAGGAGCTGTTTAAAGCAGAAGGTCAAGAAAGATCAGGTGGAAAATGGATTCCCAGTAAAATGGAATTTTAGGGCAACAAAAGCGCACAAGAGAGAATTCACACCACTGCTGTATGAACTATGGCTAGTCACTTGCAGTTTTTAGCATTGTGAATCACTGAATCTGGGTTTTCCTCTGAATTACACACAGAGCATGTACAACACAACAATTTTATCATAAGGTTCTTGCTTTTGACACTCTTTTAGGACAAGCTAAGTAGGTAATAATAAAAGTTTACATAGAGGACTTAATGGGATTCAGTCATATATACAGTCCAGATGGTCTTAACACATTACCCTCTCAAGGTACATCCTTGAAACAGTTCCGGCTGTTGGAACAATGAGAGGAACGTACATTCCAAGGACCTGGAAGGAGGTGGGGAACCTCTGATTGCCTGCGTCCAGTTTATCTGTCAAATGGTAGTCACATCCTCTCAATGACCTCCTCTGACAATGCCTCCGTCGTTCTCTCAGGTATTTTAACTGCTAAAAATGTCAAAGTTTAGGGAAAGAACTCTGGCTTTTCTAACATCCGCAGTAGTTTTTTTCCCCTGATCTTCAATTCTGGAAGCATGGTTCCATTAGGCATAAAGCATTTGAAGTCTTGACAAGAGTACTAGATATGCTATCAACTCCATGTAATTAAACTTACTAGAAACTAATGAAAATGCAAACCATAGTTGCAGCTGCTCCTTTGCTCTAATTAT